AACTGTGGCCTGACCAGTGCTGCATAGAGGAGAAGGATCACCTCCCTGGACCTGCTTGTGGTGCATTTGTAGATTCACTACAAGGTGCGGTTAGCCTTACTGACCGCTTCCTCGCATTGGCGGCTCGTGTTCATCCTGGAGTCAACAATGACTCCAAGATCCCTTTCTGCCACTGTTTTCACAAGAGAGGTATTCCCTAGCCTATACGTGTGTTGCTGGTTCCTTCTCCCTAGATGCAGCACCTTGCACTTGTCTGCATTGAATTCCATCCTATTCTCATCCACCCACCTCTGTAACCTGTCTAGATGTAGCTGGATTTTGTCCCTCCCCTCCAGCGTGCCCACCTTGTCCCACATCTTGGTATCATCAGCGAATTTGAACAGCGTGCATTCCACACCCACATCCAGCTCGCTATAAAGATGTTGAACAGTACAGGCCCCAGGACCAAGCCCTGGGGGACGCCACTGCCCACATCCCTCCAGGTCAAAAACAACTTCCTTGGCCTTTTATTTTCTGTTCATTTCCTTTTATTTTTATCTTGCATTCTTGTTAACTTCCTTGTCTTTTAGTTAGACAAGGTTCTTTTGGTAGACGTTATAACTTTTATTAGACCAACTAAATAGTTGAAAAAATTGTTCTTTGCAATCTTTTGGGCACAAATACCCTTTTTCAGGTATAAGGAGCCTTTGTTGTTGTTTTGTGTGCTTTCCGATTGTCTTTTAGTTTTAATTTACTATGAAACCTTTCCCCAGTTTCTCTTGTTCCCCTCCTATTTTGTTTTTTTTTACCTGGGTGACTCTTCCTGACTCTACTAGGTTGTATGTATGCTTTGTCATTGAAATATTCTTAATTTTCTGTGTTTGTGTCCTAGAATTTTCCCACTTGTTTGACAGGTCACTATTTTCTTAAGATGTTTGTTGGCTACCATTTCTTTCTAATTTTCTGATTTGCTGAATCTCTTCGTGGTTTCTATAGTAAACTGGTCAACAAGGGTTTTATTATTTAATCGTTACATAATGTGTGTGGGGGGGTTCTCCTTTGGGACTTTTCTTTTAATTTTGTTTTAATGTTTGCTCTTCTTAGGTAATGGTCACTGCCTACATCCACTCTTCTGATTGATCATCAGTGACTGAGTGCAGCTTTCTCTTGTTGCACTATGAGCAATTTGGTGTGCTTCAGTTCCATTAGGCAATCCCCATTTAACCTTTTTATTAGAAAATTGGACTATCCCCATTTAACCTTTTTATTAGAAAATTGGACTATCCCCATTTAACCTTTTTATTAGAAAATTGACACTGGACACTTTCCATTGTTGTTCCATTCTCCAGTACTGTATTTACCCATAGTACTTTTCTGGTTTATTTTTTTGTTCCTACTTAAAAATGTAAATTCTCCATTATATTAATGCCATCAGGTCTTCGTATGTTGTTCAGCACAGCTATACATCGTACAGCTATACATTTCAGCTATACGCTTATTAACACAGTTACACACTACATTCATTTCAGTTATACATTTTGTCACCTTTATCTTTTGCATTTTCTGTTAGTAGTCTTCAAATGTGAGGTCATAAAATGTGTGCCTATACTTTTTCCATTAACTGTATTCCATCATATTATGGTTTTCAGTTCTGTCCCTGCCTGGAATAATACTATACCTGTAACACGTATGTTATATTCCTACCTAAGTATAAAATGGTGGTGTTTTCAGTTGCCATCTTTATTCTTGCTTGCCTATTTTTGCTTGCTTCTGATATCTTAATATTTATGTTTTCATCGCTGTTATAAGTTGAGCACATCTAAAAATGTCATTTAATGTGTACGGGGGGGTATAGGTGGTAGCTGCATTAGTTTAAGGACATAGGCAGACAAGGTTCTTTGTGTAAATCTGATATATCTTATTAGGCCAATTCAAATAGTTGGAAAAATTCTTCTTAGCAAGCTTTCAGGTATAAATACCCTTCATCAGGCATCTGCAGTGGAAGAGCACACACCAACTGCAGATGCTTCCTCAGCCCGAAAGCTTGGTAAGACGAATTTTTCCAGTTATTTGAGTTGGTCTAATAAATGATATCAGATTTATCCAAAGAACCTTGTCATTTAATGTGTAGACATTTGAGCATTTATAGTATGTGACTTTTCTTGCCAGAAGGTTGTCTTTCCATAGCCCAGTGATTCTCAACCAGGGTGTTATTGGGCACCACACAATGTCAGTTAGGTTAGGTGTGCAAACACCTACACATGACTCGCAAGATGAAGCCAGAGATTTCAAATAGGAATCTATGGTGTCAAAAACCTTCTGACCTGCTGCAGTCTTACTAAGCTGTGTGCAACAGAAGAATTGCCTTTTTTTGCAGTCAAAAAACAAAAGCTAAGACCTGATATTTTCTGAGGGGTGTCTTGAGTCTAGTGAAGTTGAGAGACACTGCCATAGCCAGTAGTCCTAGTATGAGAATAAGTGACTGAACCATTCTCAAACCTCCTCCTTGACCCCAATTTGGGACCAGCATCAGATACATGTTGGAGGCAGGTTTTTCTATAACAGAATTTAAAAATGGTCCATCAGAAGTACTGAATTCTGTACAAAGCAGTTGAAATAAGAGAGAAGAAATACAAAGTTTACCTTTATGTTAACTCCCCTCCAAGTTGGGCTCACACAGCTAATGAATTAAAGTTGTTGTGTTCTTCTGCTTTACAGACGGCATAGTTCAGGCAGCAGTCCGTCGGACATCCGAGAGCAGTGAGCCTCTTACTCCTGAGATTCAGGATGCCCCACCTCAAAGGAAACGCAAGAAGAAAAGAGTACCTCCTGGTATGTGAAGAATATTGGAAGGAAGATAAAATTAGTCTTGGTAGCATTCATGGATTGGTAAAAACCAAGTGCATCTATGCTTATGACTACAAATTTGCCTCTAGTATAATTCCACAAAGTCAGTGAAGATTAATATTAAGTGCAGTTTTGAAATCAGGCACACAGGCTATGCATTTCTATAGGTTCTGGTTCCCAGTGCAGTGTGAATTCTGTCATGATGCACATACGAAGTATTTTCTATTTATGGTTAACAGAAACCTTCCTTTATTACTGATATTTTAAAAATCTAGGACATGATATATATGCATACAGGATAAGACGTGGGCCCAAATAAAGGTTCTAGTAGGAGCCTTGCTTTATGAAATTTACTGACTGTGTGTATAATGTCTGTATTCCATCAATACTAGTTTTATAATTTGCATATATGCTTCAAATATATGGGTAGTCCTTTGAGCAAAAAATAGAGAATTATTTTTCATGTCTTGACCTCAAGTTTAGTATTTTAATAACTCAAACCATGCAACAGACTCACTGACATCTTGAAACGAAGGCATGTGACATTTAATTTATTGACAATCTGCTGCAGCATAGAATCACAATTCTTAAATTGTTACAGTTATTTAAAAAAATTAATAGGTTACACCCAGCAACCTACAGCTTGCAAGCTGGATTCTCGCATGCAGCCAACAGAGCTGACCTGATCTGAGTTTTGCTCTCATCCAGTTCATCTAGCAGCAAACCTTTGGGATCCTCAACCCAGAGGACAACATTTATCAAAAGATGAATTATCTATTGCTCTTGATACAAGTATGGAAATAGCTAAGAATGTCTCCAACATCAACAAAATAGCCGTGACGACAGACATTGCCGAGTATCGTGCAAAAGAAAAACTTTGGAGCACAGACATTTGGCTGGCAGCAGAGAATATGTTTCCTCTCACATGGTGGAAGGAATACTGTAACACCTGACTGTTGTCC